TCGGCAAGGGGTAAGTCTCAGGAACAAGGCCTAGCATCTTGAGCCTGGGGGCAAAGGTCACCAGAACCAGGAAAAAGGAATGTGGCCTCTCCTAGACAGGATGGGGTGGGGCTTTTATCCAGAGAGCTGAGCACGGTGACTACACTTATGACCTCTCAAGCCTATGAACAAAAATGGACTGTGAGGAGAGGAGAGAGGGATATAGGAAGACAAGACACTAATTTCTCTGTTTGTTCTCCTATTGCTTGGAATTAGGTCCAGGGTCTTGCGAGTGCTAGGCAAATACTCTCCCAAGGAGCTGTAGCCCAGCCCTTGAATTTTGAGACAAGAGTCTCACAATGTAGTCTAGGCTATCCCTGATCCTCTGCCTTAGCCTCTTAGGTGCTAGGATTACATATATCTTCCATGACCCACCACTGACATTCTGCTGTGTCTAGTATTCCTGCTCTGAGGCGCTCTGGTATTCCCAGCATCCCCACAGGAAATCCAGCTGAACTGGCTACAGCAAGACTCTTTCCCACGTGATCAAAAGAAGCCCATCCATGAAGAGAGGCCACATTTACCTATGCTTTGCCTATGGATCTACCCCACACTGGAGACAGAGCCTGGCCTTGGGTCTTTTCACACTCTTGCCCCCACAAGCATGGAGCACTGTTGACCTTCCCCTCCCATTTTGCCTTGCAGACCCTTTTTTTGCCACCACTCCTCTCAAGACCCTTTTCCAGTTCTCTTGGTTTCTCTGCAGCCCTCAGTGTCTCTTTGTCCTTGGGAAGGATAGATCCAGGCAGGCCCACTGTTCAGCAAGCCCAGGCCCAGGCAGAGCCTTCCCCTGCCAGCTCAGTGTCCTCTTTGAAGATGTGTCGGAAGCAGGTATCAGAAGACTATGAAGTGACCCTGAAACCTTCAAAGAGTTTTGTACACTCAGCCCTCATTTACACATGTGTGCTTGTGACACTTGTGAGCCACTATCCAGTTAGGAGAAGAGGAAGCTGTGTCACTGGCTCCAGCCTCCCCGCTGCCACCACTTTGAAGCTGGGCCAATATTTGAGCACAGTAATGGCCCCTGCTCTTCTGGCTTGCCCTGAAGCTCCAGAGAAGGTAAGAGGTCTGAACATTTTTATGAATGAACATGCAGGTGGTTCACTGTAGGGCTGGCTTCTTCAACTCTCCTCTGGGATCAGGCCTGAGGGCCTCAGTCAGCTCAGACCTACCCCTAGGACAACAGCTGAGTCCTTGCCCCAAGGGAATTCAGGGGACACAGTCATTCCCCACAGCCTGCTTTGCGTACTTGGCTCTGGGACTTGGAAACAGTCTTGCTATGCCTTCCAATACTCTGCAATTGAAATGTTCTGTGGTCCACAGTCAATCATTTACATACAGGCCGGATGGCTGATGCACCGTAGGATAAAGAGGGGAAACAGAACTTGCAGTGCCCCAAGTTTAACCACACCAGAGAAGCACTCAGAGAACTCAGAGGGCCCCATGGAAGAGAAGATTCATCTCTTCACGGCTCTCAGACCCTCTGTATTAGGATCACTGAGGGGAGGGGGCTGTAAATTATAGCATCTTCAGCAGATCCTACATGCCCAAGAGAAGATGACTTTATTCTTTTCCAAAACTGCAGGAAATAATAAGGGCTCTTCCCACTTCTAGTCAGACTTTCCAGCCAAAAATTTCCACTAATTTAAAACATTTGGTGGGAAAATATTATTGAGACCTTGTTCTTTTGGGGGGAAAAATCAGCTTGGTTTGCGTTAAACTCGAACATGCAGAGAATATGAGTTTCTCTTGCTTGATGGGACAACGGCAAACAGGCTAATTACCATCTTATCTGAAGACATGTCTGTTCGGCACAGGAGGAGAAGTCTTTCTTTCACACAAACAATGACCAGGTATACAGTAATGACAGCAAGCCACAGGAGCCTGGGAATGCCTTCATCTCCTACGTGAATGGCAAGGAATCAGAAAGCTAATTCTCTTTCACTAGCAGTCACTAGTTATCCACAAGGTTATTAGCCATATAGAATGAACAGGTACCATTATAACCAATTACTGAATGATCCTCAGACACTGGTGCCTATACACTCACATATATCATGAGTGGGAACAGAAGCCGCTGGGACAAGAGGGAAAATTAAAATATAAGTAATATACAGCTAAGGTCCTCTAGGGCTTAGACCTTATACAAATGTCACACTCAGTAATCACAGCAGCCAAGTAGCCCACAGAGTAGGGTACCGCTTCCTGAACATCTGAGGCAATGGGTCTGCCACACAATGGTCTTGTCTGGTTAGGGCCGAGGCACTTATGGCTAGTTTACAAATGAGCACACTGGAGATATCATAAAAAGCCTCTCCCCCACAGCTTCCTCACACACCTGCAGCTATCTCAAGCAACCAAGTCGTAATCACGTGTCCCCATGCTTCGGGCCATTAGCAATTGCAGCTTCTAGGATGTCTCTATCCAACTTTATCAGACTATTATTTGCAAAGAAGATGGCCCTACTAATGTAGACACTTACGTGATGTACAAAAACACTGTGTCCTTGCATCTATACACATGTAAACACAAACAAACCCACCTCTGTTTCTAAATAATCATCTAAATTCTACCAATGTAGAAAAGGCCTTCATGGTCCTAGTAAAATTAGCTAAGTCTGACCCTTGGAGAACCGTCTGGCTCTTGGTCCGGGGCTCCTGGATCCTTCCAGTGTGAGTGATTACTCCCAGGGCCTTAGAGCCTTGAATGCTCAACAGATGTAGACAGCAAAAGGAAGGAAGAGAACAAACAACCCTTAAAGGAAATCTCACTTCTCCACCCTTCTGCAAAATTCCTCATAATATAGCACTCTCTGCCGAGAGCTGGCTCTCTCCTCTCACCGCCTCAGTCTCCCACCTAAGCCTGGAGACTCCTTGACCTGTCCCAGGACAGCCATGTCACCATGTAGTCCTCCTACCTCCTGTCTCAGCCTCAGCACCTCCCCCATCCCTGTATCAGGAAGGCAGCCTCTGCCACCGGTGCTGTTTCCTCACAGACACAGCCACCCACCGTGCCTACTCAGCCATCATGACCACAATGAGTCTGTTCTATATCCCACACCTCAGAGTTGACAATCAGCAAGATTGACTAGACAATTCAGTCACGAGCTATTTGGACCTCAAGTGGCTGTTTGGACTTGTGCGGGTCAATTACAGTCAGTTTCTCTGTGACATGTCAAAAATGGTCTGCAGGTTCCACTGTGGTACCATGAGATGATAAAGGCACTGATAAGTTCCTATGACCCCAGTCACGTCAAAGCTTCCTCAATGTCACTTGTTCAGCATGTCACTCACGTGCCTATGGCGGTGTGAAAAAACCCTACTGGGTGCCAGTCGTAAAAACATGGCTTCTGTGAGTAAGCAGAGCATACGACTCAGTTACAAGAACTATTACTGGCTTGTGTCTTAAATACTATACATTTTCCAGTTTTAATTTACAGCGTACTCTCTACCCTCCCTCTCTGTGTGTGTGTGTATGTGTGTGTTGCACACGCACACATACACACACACAGACACACAGGAAATTTACTATATACAGGAGAGTGGGAGATGTGGATCAGTTTGGCAAAATGCTTGCTTAGAATGAATGACCAAGATTCTCAGTTCAACCCCTAGTACAGAAACCAGACATGGTGATACATCCCATAATTCCAGTGCTATGGAGAAAAAGGCAAGGAGGATTAGAAGTTCAGGGCCATTCTCTGCTACATAGTGACTCCGAGGTCTGGTTAGACTACATAAGATTCTATCTCAAAATAAAACAAAAAATACATGCTATCTCAGACCTGCCACGGTGCACATGAATGTTGTATGATGGTCTGTGCGAACAGGTTAGTGTCAGGACCCTCTGAACGTTGCCTAGGGCTCATAGCAGCACACTGGATGACTACATAAAAGAAAACATGACACACACAAGGACAGAGTGGAGCCCCAGTCTGGAGTGTGGACATTCTTTCTGTTGCAAATGTCATGTAGAATTCAAACAGTGCCTGCAATGGGGTGTGGAGTACACCTGAGCACCTCCAACACAGGGGCAGGGAGTCCCTGCAGGCAGGCAATGTTCCTGGGACAGTGGCATGCCCACTGGCTTGCTCCCAGACCTGGAAAGGATAACAAAGATCTCCCGAGGCAAGGGAGACGTGGTGTTGGGAGTGGGTTCTAATGCTCTGTCTGAATTCGGCTCCCAAAAGCTGCTTCCAGACTTGAGGGTCCGTGCCCCCAGCTGGGTTTGATTGTTAATGAAGAAGTGCCATACATCCATTGGCTGGGCAGAGAGACGGAGGCAGGACTTTTAGATTGTGAGGGCAAGGGACAGAGAGAGGGGGATGGGAAGAAAACTGCCATGACTCAGAACCAGAGGGATCAGATTTAGGAGCTGCAGGGGAGACATCACCAATGTAGGTGGAAGGGGAAGCAGCCCTATGGGGAGTTGGGGGGGAGGATGCCCAGAAGCTAACAGGGCAACAGAGATAAAATATAAATTTAGAAGGTATTAAGTCAGAAATATAGGACGGGGGAGTATTTGTTAGCCTTGGGGAGGTTTAGAAGTGCCCAACCATTGAGCTAGTCAAAGCATATCAAAATTAGCTGGTGTGTGTGTGCGCGTGCGTGTGCATGTGCGTGTCTTTCATTTGTGAATCCAGAGCTCTTGGGCAGGTACTGAACTTTTGTGACCCGCCTGGAGCAGGAGCAGTTAAACTAATTCACCTCAACAAGGTGGCATCTATGAGTTAGACCCATTCAAGGGTTTGAGTGTGTTCAGTAGGCCTGTAGGCTAGGATTCAACTCCAGACCTAGAAGATATGACATGGGGTTGCCCCAGGCTCAGCAGAAGTGTACTCTTCTTCCAGAGTCATCTCCAGCTGTTTCTTGCAGTGTGGCTAACTGGCTACCTGCTCTCCAGCATATCCACTTAGGCGTTTGCTCTGTGAGCTGTTCCTCTTGTGTCACTGTGGTGCTTACCTTCTTAATAAACTCTGGGATGAGCTTCTGGTCTGCCAGGTGTTCCAAGGAGGAGCAGTAATCCAATTCCAAGATGTAGCCTTCATTGTGAGGCTCGGCCTTCTGAGACCTGGAGAAACAGAGAATAAAATTCTTCCTAGTCTTCTTTTATAAAAAAGAATCACAGGATAATTAATGCACGAAGTCTCCAGATCTTTCTTGAATGTAACTGACAAGACAGCAGTGCTGGAAAACATATTGTGGTAAACAAGACAGACATGTACGTACATGCACTCATGTATATGCACACATGCACTATGTATGTATGTATGTATGTATGTATGTATGTATGTATGTATGCATGCATCTCTATGCCACTGAAAGCTCTCCAGGAAGGTTGGGCATGATCTCAGCATTTGGAAGTTAATGTAGGATTGAGACTTTGCAGCCGGTCTGGAATCTCAGAAACAGGACACAGACAGAAAGAGGGACAAGAAAGAAGGAAAGAAGGAGAGGAAGGAAGGAGGAGGGAGAGAAGGAGAAAAGGAGACAGAATATAGGGTGGAGGGAGGAAGAGAAGGGATCAGCTTAGAGTTGGTCTCTGTGTAAGTCATCATCATAGAACGATAGATACAGGGGATACGGTTTATACAGTAGACAAAACAATGACATTTGAGGGGAGGGGACTCCATACTTCCATTGGTTTCCATATTCTGGGAAAAGGCTTAACAACAGACACACATAGCCAATCCCAGTGGCGGCCTCTGGATGGAGAGGCCTTTCAGGGACAGATCTTGGGGCAACAATGTGGGGCTGATTAAAAGTGACGTCAGCTCTAACTCTGAAGTCTTCGTTTCCAATGAAGAAAACGAATTTAGAAAAGAATTTCCGGTGAGATTTCGGAAACATTTTCAACAAAGAAAACAAGTTTAGAAAATGAATTTGTAAGGCCATTAAAGGACTCAACCCTTACTAAAGAGCAGCTGACAACACCTACCAAAATAAAAGATAACTCAAAGACAGTCAGGATGGGCCATTGAGGTGGCTCAGAGGGGAGAAACATTTGCTACCAAGTTCAGTACAAGTCCTGAGACCCCCATGCAGACAGAGCAAACCGACTCCCACAAGCTGTCTTCTGACTTCCACATATGTGTACAAGAGCATGCATGTATATGTGTATGCACACATAGAAATTAAATGACTATGAGGCAACTCCAAGCAGAAATTCTGGAGAAGCAGAATGTAATGAAGGGTGGTCAGAGTTACAGGCCTTGGCTTTGGGATGACGACAGAGGCTTGCCCGAATGCCTGGTTCACCCCACCCACTGACGGCTGAGCTGGCTGTTGCCCCATTCAGACCCATCCTGACCCTGCACATGACTGGACCGTCCATCAGGAGAAGCATGAGCAAGTAGCCACCAGAGAGAGGCTGCACTCATTTACAGTCATCTCTCTGTGGACTTCTGTGTGCAAACGGCATGCCCCTGGGGAGGCCCTGGAAGCTGCATGCTATCAGAAGTTGAAGGAGTTTCTTAGGCTCACCAAACCTGAAGCAACATGATATACAGAGAAGAGTCAACACAGGATGTTGCCTATCCTAGGTGGCTGACCACAGGGCTCCTACCACATGCCCAGATGCTCTGCCCCAGCTTAGGACTGAGGGGTCTTCCTGGCACGAGGAGGCTGCCCTACCAGAGGCTGTTCAATACACACACACACACACACACACACACAATCACCACACACATCCTCATCTTGTACCACACACACACAATCACCACACACATCATACACATACACACACACACAGCACAAACACTACAGTAATTGTGAATTAATATTTGTTATGATAGTTTTAAAATGAAGCTCCAAAGTTTCCATGTACTATGAAAAGCAATTTGTGCTTCCATTAACCATCTGGGTATGATTTAAATCTTTTGAATTTAGAATTCAAAAGAGAAAAAAAATTAAAGAGGATTTGGTGTCCCCAGGTGTGAGACTGTGGTTCATTAAGCATCCTTCAACAGGTTATTTTTATTTCTGCACTTGCTTCCTCTAGCATATCCTTTCTGAGGTAGCATACTGTTTGAAATGTAAACAAGTAAGCTGACTTCAAACCAGTCCATCTGGAATAAACTGACTCTAACAGAATTATCCGGCTCAGAACCCAGTCATCTTGTTCCAATGCTTGGCCAGAGATTTAACCATGTTCTTACTTTCTTCCCCTAGAAAATCTAAGACAGAAGAATCCAGACCTTTGAAAGAGACTTACATGAAACATACTGTCATCTGTGTTTTGTGGCATCCCAAATGGCAGAGACTACACAGAGGAAGAGAGCTCTAAGAGATGTTTAGTCCTACTAGCCTGAGGAAGGGCCCTGAGCTCAATCCCACAACCCCTGTAAGAATCCAGGCTTGGCAGAGTTTATAATCCCAGCACCAGGGAGGCGGAGACAAATGAATGTCTGCCAGTCCCTCAGTGGCCATCCTGCCTAGCCCAATCATTGCACCCCAGGTCCCAGTGAGAGACCTATCCATAAATGATAAACAGTTCTTTGAGTAACACCTAATGTTGACCTCCTCTCTCTCTCTCTCTCTCTCTCTCTCTCTCTCTCTCTCTCTCTCTCTCTCACACACACACACACACACACACACACACCACACACAGGCACACACAGGCAGTCAAGCATGCAAGTATCCCAGTTCTTGCACACCTCGAGACTGACATCAAATATATACGGTTATTTATAAATGGTCATTAAGCCGGTGGGTGGTGGCACACGCCTTTAATCCCCGCACTTGGGAGGCAGAGACAGGCGGATTTCTGAGTTCGAGGCCAGCCTGGTCTACAGAGTGCGTTCCAGGACAGCCAGTACTACACAGAGAAACCTTGTCTTGAAAAACCAGAAAAAAAATGGCCATTAAGATTATAATCTCAGGTCTCAGTTCATCATTGACGGGAACACGAGGCTAGTCACACCACATCCGTGGTCAAAAGCAGAGAGAAATAAATGCAAGCAGGCCTACTCACATACATGTTCTCAGCTACCTTCTCCTCTCAGTGTTCAGGAGCGCCTGCCCAAGGACTGGTGTCAAGCACAATAGGCTGGCTCCCTCTATATCAGTTAACGATCAAGAACCTGACCCTAGGTAATTGCTTAACTGAGGATCTTTTCTCAGGAGATTGTAGGTTAGTTAAAAATGCCAACACAGCAGAAGTATCACAGGATTTTAGACAGCACCCTGCTACACCCTGCTGTGAGCCGCTCAGTGTGACATGACAGAACACAACCATTTCAGTCGCTGGTAGGGCAGCTGAGGGAGCACAGCCTAGGGTGGTAACAAGTATGCTGTGTCCCTGGAAACCACCCCGGGATAAAGAAGTGGCTCCTAGTGGGAGCCCCCAGGAGCCAGGGTCTGGCTTCCAGGGGAATCATGGGGACAGGTATTCAGCACAGCCAGCTTCTAAGCAAGAAGCAGTGACCAGAGTCTCCTGATAAGTGGTCACCTGTTGTCCTCCTGTGGGTGAGGAAAAGACCATATAGACTCCCAAAAGGCCACGTGGTCTTAGAAAAGGACACAGGAAACACCTACCTTCCCCGACCTGGGAGCTCAGATGTCTGGACTTCTAGAATGGACAGAGATGTGGATTTAAACACAAGGAAAACAGAGGGTGACAATGTGATCCTTGTGGGGACATGGGACTGCCATAGCCTCCTAGGTTGTCATGTTTGAAAATTAATATGACATACATCAGAGCCTGGAAATAAATGTTCAGGGACACACTGTGACATGTGTTTATTACCTTCAAGGCCCAAACTTCATAGTGGTCTTGTAGCTCAGAAGTTGAAGAATCCAGAGTCAGCCAGAAAGGTGTCACATCTACCCTAAGCCTTGAGATAGTTTACTCAAACTTCCTGGACTTCAGTTGCTTTTACGGTATGTAGGACTGAGGTGAATATCTGTCTATTAGAAAGCCCATGGGGGCAGGATAATACAGACCTCCCAGGACACAGGGACAACAGAGCCTTTAGTCGGAAGAACACAGAAGCTCTTGAAGGGCACTCAATACAGAGGTAACATGGCATGATCATTTTAAAAGAACCCTCCCCTCTTCCAGCTTGAGGGGCAGCTGAAAGATTACCTCAGTGGTCCAGGCAGTACATGCTAGCTTTCTAAGCAGTCTGGTAAAAGTGAGAGTTAACGGGTTCTGACTGTTTTCAAGGTGGCATCTTTATAATACCCAAGAGACAGGTTGTAGGGTGTGAAAGGAAGAAGGCAGACGACTCCAACGGATGATTGCCCTTGCAGTTAGAGGATGAGACGCAGTAGGGAATGTTTTGGTTGGCACAGGTTTGGCAGGGGAAGAAGACTGACAATTCAGTTCCATCAATGGTAAAGGTGACATATCCAGGTGACATCCATGTAGAAATGTCTGCTGGACAGTTGAAAATGCATTCCAGTCTGAAGCTAGGGCTGTGACTCAGTTCGAAGACTTCTTGCCTATCATTTGTAAAGCCCTAGGTTTAATCCTAACTGCTGAGTGAACCAGCAGGCGTGGTGGTGCATACCTGTCATCCCAGCACTCAGGAGGTGGAGTCAGGAAAACCAAATGTTCAAGGCCAAACTCAACTGTAGGACAAGTTCAAGACCAGCCTGAGCTACACAAGACTCTGTGTCAGGAAGGAATAGAGGGACGGAGAGAGGGAGGGAGAGATACACACAAACATTCTCCAGGTCAGGTGACTGGAGACTTAAAGGTCACCAGGATCCACATGGTATTTAAAGCCCGAGAACAGCTGAGATCTTCCAGAATTCTCAAGACTCTTCATTCTGAGAATCCAGGGAAGCAAGGAAGAGATTTCAGCAAATCTACAAAAAGGAACTATCTGAGGGGACCATTTCTTAGAAGACAATTAAGGCAGCTTGTTGCTGAGGATGGGAGAAGCTACTCTGTCAATTGCTCACACGAACAAACTCAGTGGCCTCTCTCTAATTGGCATATTCTTCCAAAATCACAATTCAAGGTCTGAAGGTCTTTGTGTGCCTTTAGTATCTGAGCATTCTGTTAGGTGGACAGACTGTCAAGATAGTACGCCGGATTGGTTCGAGGTACCCGGGTCCTTTAGA